TACCAGGTTCTTTGCTTGCGTATCCCATACAGCCTTAGAGATTAGGATTTGAAACTATCAGTCTGTGATTAGACCTCTTTTCTTCCTCATTTATATTGTATATTACTGTATTCATTGCATTACCTATATGTAGGCAACATTTTTACGTATAGGTAAGATTTTGCTGATATTTTAAGTTAGTAATTTTCATTAGTGACCTGTATATATCATGTGATATACTTATTGTAAATTACTTCCTGATTTTTATTTAATTATTCTTGTTTCTATGTGTGATTCCTATCATTCTACTCATATAACCAAAATATATCTGAATTTACTTTTATTCAAATGAAATAATTCTAAAATTGTTCACTTTAAAATAGGTACTGGTTTTTTAAAATGCTATGTGAACATTCTACAAAATAATGAAATATACTATTTAAAATTGTCAGAGAATACAAAGAATGTCTAAAAGAAAAAAAAAAACGGTTGCAGATTAAAGGAAAGTAGAGAAATAAAAATTAAATGCAATGTGAGAGTCCTTCTGTGTTTGTGTATCACCCAAAATTCATACATTGGAAACTGAATCCCAAATACAAATGTGCTGGAGAGGTCAGTCCTTTAAAAGGAACAGATTGATCCTGCTATAAAGGGCTTGCAGGAATGGGTTCTCTCTCTTGCTCTTCTACCTTCTACCATATGAAGACATAGCACAGAAGCCCATACCAGTGCCAGCACCTGGAACTTCAATTTCCCAGCCACCAAAACTATAATAAATAAATTTCTGCCAGGCACAGTGGCGCAGGCCTGTAATCCTAGCTGCTTGGGAGGCTGAGGCAGGAGGACTGCGAGTTCAAAGCCACCCTCAGCAATGGCAAGGCACTAATAAGCAACTCAGTGAGACACCCTGTCTCTAAATAAAATACGAAATAGGGCTAGGGGTGGGTCAGTGGTCGAGTACCCCTGAGTTCAATCTCTGGTACCAAAAAAAAAAAAAAAGGAAAGAAGTTTCTGTTTCTCATTAATTACCCAGTCTCATATATTTTGTTAAAGCAACACAATGCAGTAAGACAATACTAGACTGAGGGGAAAAAAATACATTACTGAGATGTTTGGTAAAATTTGAATATAGACTACTTAATAGTATTATATTATCTCTTAATATAGATAACTGTAGTGTGATTGTGTTAAGTAAAATCTATTAGAAAATATTCACTATAAATTTGAAATTATATCAAAGTTACTCCTAACAAATGACATGTATTAAATAAATAGAACTAGTTTACTAGATTACTATCTGAAATGTTTGTCTAATTTAAAATGTGTTAAACTAACTTTAAAAATAAAAAAAAACCCAGAGTGATGCTCACCTGAAATCCCAGCAACTTTAGAGACTAGAGCAGGAGGATTGCAAATTCAAGGCCAGCCTCAATAGTTTAGCAAGATCCTATCTCAAAAATAAAAATGGAGGGAATAAAGCTCAGTGTTTGGGAGCCCCTGGGTTTATTCCCCAGTACTGCAAAATATATATTATGTAAAATTGCCCAAGTAGAGACTGGAGTTGTAGCTTGGTAGTGATCCTTGCCCAGTGTGCCCTGTACCACGAAAAAATCAAAACAAAACAATTTTTTTTTTTAAAAAAAAGCCCTGACTAGGAGAGGAATGCAGTAACGTTTTTTTCTCCTGAGTCATTTACTTTGTAGTGACATGTTTCTCATTCCAGGTACTAAGTTCTAGATTCCCATTTTGAAACAAAGACATATTTACCAAAAACATAGTTTACTTTAGCAGTAGCAAGTGTTTCCTTTATATTGTTTAGAAAAAAATTAAATATACATTGTTTATTGTTCGTTTTTGTTAGTTCAGATATTGCCAAATTGTCTGATCCTGCTTTGTTAATATTATGGTGGTATGAATTAAGGTGGTAGTATATATACTGCTTGGTTTACCTGGAAATGTCATTTACTTTTTGTTGTTTTAATAACCAAAGCAGTCTTTACAAGTTAAGCTCTTCTACATAGTAAGTAAAGGTAGCCATCGGAAACCATTCTTGGCTGGGGATGGTGGCCCATGCCTATAATCCCATCTACTTGGGAGGCTGAGGCAGGAGGATCACGAGTTCTTGGGCAACTTAGTGAGACCCTGTCTCAAAATGCAAAGAAATTGGGGATGTAGTTTGTTGGTAGAACACCTTTGGTTTTAATCCTCAGTACCACCACCAAAAAATAAATAAATAAATAAATCTCAACTGTTTTCAAAACAACTTGAACTGAACTGTATATTCTACCAGCAACAAAATTGTCCAAGCTGTGAAAACATTTTTCTCTAGCCAGGATTTTTTTTTTTTTTTTTTGAAACATTTCAAGCAAATAGAAGAGTTGAAAGAATAGTATAGTAAATACCCATGTATCTAGTACATCTGTATGAAAATGTTTATTGAGTAATTATTATGGACTGGCTCTGTGCTAGCCAGTTGAGGCTGCAGTGGTGAGTAAGAGAGAAACTTAGTAGATTCAAGGGAACTGCTATCCCATTCTAAGAATCCCACTGCTTACAATTATGTTGAGGGAAGTCAGAAAACAGAAAAGATAAATACAGGGGAAATATTTGGACATATGTAGACAGTGACAAAATGTATTTCACATCCTAAACTGTTCTGTTTAGGGATATGACAATAAAGTTAGTCTTTTGCCTTTCTACCACACTGCATCAGTGGATTTTATGGAATATTTTATTTGCTTTCTTTTAAATATTGCTTTGGGCACAGTGTTTTGGATATTGAATTGCTGCTTGTATCTTCTGTTTGAGAAGTTCTAAAGGTGACTGGCTTAAGAAAAAAAAAAACTTTACACTTTAAGAACTTTTACACCACTACTCTTTCATTTTTTGACTCAGTGCTAAGTAGGAGGAAGATTCTGAGAATATTGAAATAGTTCAAAGAAGCATATATTAAGAATATAGAGAACTATACCAAAAAAGTTTTCAAATGTTCTAAGAAAGATTTAATACAGTAAAATCTTGGCAATCTAGAACTTGCAAAGAATGAATCATTCCAAATAATTGAGGGCTTGTCTGTTTAAATGCTAATTTTAAAAAGTCTTCCCAAAGTACTAATAATATGCATTCTGTAGTATCCTGTATAAAGCTTAATTTTTATTTATAGATGAACCATGCCATTATTATCAAAACCAATCATATTAATGCTGTGATCATAACTGTAAAAAAGTATCTAACAAAGTCTGCTAGAAGAATTGAAATGATTAAAGCATTTTTAAGACTAGTGGCATACAAGGTGATATGTTTTCCTAAAATTGAGTTAAACTATAACACAGTACCTTGGGGGTTTGTTTATATTGTTTATTTGGTTGTATTTAGAATTGGTGGTATATTTGTTAGGTTTTTATTTTTGTATTCTTTTTTTGTCAACTCTTATGTTTTTGTGTCCTCTATTAGACTGTCACTTCCTAGGACTGTGCTACCTCTAATAGGAAGTCTAAATATTTCTTTAAAAAGACCTTGTTTCAGGTACCAACCAAGCTATTATTAGCACACATCCTCTTGCTTCTTTTGCCCAACATAATAGCACTAGGATTGGAAAGTCATTTTGTGTAAAGCAGAAGGGAAAAGTGGGGTATTCCTCCCTCATTGAGTTCCATGAATTCCCCTTTTTTAATTTTGCCTTCTATCTCCAGGAAGCTGAGAGATTTTGTGTCTTTTTTTTAAATTAATATTTTTATTTATATATGACAGCGGAATGTATTACAATTCTTATTACACATATAGAGCACAATTTTTTGTATCTCTAGTTGTATACAAAGTATATTCACATCAATTCGTGTCTCCATACATGTACTTTGGATAATGATGTCCATCACATTCCACCATCATTTCTAACCCCATGCCCCCTCCCCTCCCTTCCCACCCTTCTGCCCTATCTGGAGTTCATCTATTCCTCCCATGCTCCCTCTCCCTACCCCACTATGTAACATTGTGTTTTGAAGAGACCAAAAGCAGACTCAACAAGAGTTATGTTAAAAGAGTAAAAGAAAGCTTCTTAGTTTTTTTGCTTTTTGTTTGTTGGGATTTTTTCTTCTTTTCCTTGGAGAAGTTTGGAGTTTTCTTTCTTTGTTTTCCTTTTATAATAGAGTGTTTCTGTTTCTGATTATTATGAAAACAAAAATATAATCTTATATTTAAGTAGAAATAAAATTTGAATTTATAAGAAAAGCAATTCCTATGTCCTTTAAAAACAAATACCTTTGTTTTACTAATCTATTTATTTTATGTGGTGCTGAGGATCAAACCCAGGGCCTCACGTGTGCAAGGCAAGTGCTCTACTACTGAGCTCCAACCCCCATTCCTGTATCCTTTAATTAGTGAATGGGTATTAACAAAAATCAATCAGGTTTCATGACTCTTAAGACAGGAATCCCCCAGTCAGACTCTTAGTTCCTTCTGATTAAAACTTTAACTGTTGTTCTAATATTGTCTCTAACACTTCTTGAGTTATACTTGGACACTTTACTGAAAATCAACCAAAGCTCCTGTCTGTTTTATTCAATATCTGAAATGCTGATCTCATTTCTTGATGATTGCTAGTCACATTTGTTTTACATTTTTAAAATATACATGGACCGACTGCATGTACTTGTCATTTTTAATCCCCATATATAATTTTTAATGTGTAACTACAATAATTTGGTCAGTGAGTATTTTCTGTTTTCTCCACTATAGTTTCACTAACGTCAGTCTTAGGTAAGCACAGTAATTAAGAAAGAATGAATACTTTCACATATAGCAACAGAATTTTTATCAGAATTCATTGTAACCCTCAGGTTTCTGTTTTGGGTGATACATATTGCAACATGTGAACTTTCTCCATGTCTGCATTTCCTGTTCAGGGGACAAAACAGGTTTAAAATCTATTTAATTCACTAAAGATTTGGAAAATGCAGCAGATTATTTTTTCTTCATTGGTTTTGACTCCTATTGATTATTGTTGGATTTCTTTCTTGGAATAGATGGGGAAAGAAGGAATCAAGTGATGATTCATGGAATTGAGCCAATGTTGGAAACACCTCTGCAGTGGCTAAGTGAACATCTGAGTTATCCGGATAATTTTCTTCATATTAGCATCATCCCCAAACAAACAGAGTGAAGCACCGACTCCTGGTCTGGAAGGAATCGCCCTGAAACAGGATTTACCAGAGCATGTCACTCTTTGATTCAATCAGGTTTGGTGGAGGCAACCTGACCAGAAACGCTTTGCTGCTGCAAGCCAAGCAGGAAAGAGATTCCATGTCAGATAAGGCAATTGGGCTGGTCTTGCTTTGCATCACCTCTGCTTTCCTCCACTGCCGTCATTAAACCTCAGCTTCAACGTGAAAGACTTAACAGGGCCACTGCAGGTCTTCTGTTTTCTTGTAAAATATAATGAAGCTGAAACCTTTGGCCTGAGGAGACAATGGAAATATGTGCCACTCAGTTTGTATTTCTGATTAACAAATAAACAGGGGTATTTCCTAAGGTGACCATGATTGAACTTTAGCTCAACAGAATGGAAACATTGGTTGAATTTTCAAGAGAATTAGACTTAAGAAAGTAAAAGAGAAATTCTGTTATCAATAACTTGCAGTAATTTTTTGTAAAAGATCAAATTACAGTAAACCCATCTTTCCTTAATGAAAATTTCCTATGTTTACAGTCTGTCTCTTGGTATGCAAACAATCTTGTACTTTGATAATGAACAGTGAGAGATTTTTAAATAAAGCCTCAAAATATGTTTTGTCGTTTAATAACATACAGTTTTGTCACTTTCCATGTACTTTCTGATTCCCATACAGTAAATCACTTTTTATTCTGTTTCCATTTTTTCATTGGCATGGGGTGGATACAGGGCATAGGATAACTTGTCTCAGGAGCTATCATAGAACTTATTGCTGCCTATTTTAAAACCTGTGTTCTCTATCACTGAAGCTATAAATAATGTTAAATGTTTATCTTTGCTGTTTGGTTTATCAGTGTAAACCTGTCAAATCATAGTACGCTAAGCATCTGTATGAAATAATTTTGCATATTTGGAAAAATCCATTCCTTTTCATCTTCTTGTTTTTCTTGGGCTCCAGGACTAATATTTCACTGTGGTCCCCTGGCAGCCAATCTTTGAAGTCTAAAGATTACCTATCTCTTGACTGCAGTAGCTTTTCCTTAACTTTACCAAAAATATCCAGATGTTACTGGAGTTCGCATCCACTATAAGGAAAGTTTGCTGCACATTGTCATAGGCTGCTGGGATTCTACCAACTAAACATATTTGTGTATTACCTTGATTTCTTGTGAGTAGCTTGCTGTCCATATTGAATGTCAATGCATTTGAGTATGCTGAAAGACACATATTATCATACAAGAATGGTTTTAGATTACCCAATAAAAATGAATGCTTTTCTTATAAAAAAAAAATTATATGATTGTTCAAATGGGATCCTGCTAGTGCTTATTGTTTTCTTTTTCCTTTTGTGATTTTTACTGCTTTTTAGTAAATTTACTCACAGAATGAGATAAAGTTGACTGGCCAAAGATCAAATATTCTGGAATAGAAATTATAAGGCACAATCAAAAAGAATAACATGAGGTATCAATTGCAGAAAAATAGACAAAGAAATGGCAGATGTAAATAAAATGAGAGGTGCCATTTTAGGAGAGGCAGGAAAAAAAATACCAATGTTTGAGTTATGTAAGGAAAAAAAAATCCACTAACTTGTATTTTTGTAAAAGAGGTTGGTCTGAATATGATTGTTCACATTAAAAGTGTTTGTTCGTCTATTCATTTGGGGATTTTCCCCCTTGCTGTTTTGACAGACTGAAGTGAGCTTCACTGAGCAAAAGGATCAGAATGCCAGGGAGTGCTAAGTGGTGGTAAAATGTGGTAAGAATGGTAAACCATAGTAGTTTTCCACAGATGAGGCCAGTGTGAGATATTTGCAGTGGACTCCAGTGAGCTACTGGCCTTTACTTCCAGATATGAAAGTAAATTTTGTCAAGCCATTTCCCATTTTTGTATAGTTGTTCATTATAACACCAGCATCATAACATTATTCTATAATCCCAGATAAGTCTACCCTCCAATGCCCCAGAGAAAGAATAAAGTGAAAACTAGTGCTGGCTTAAATGTCTACTTTTTCCTCTTAAATATTTGACTATTTATGTTTGATGTTTTATTAAAAAAATTAGTAAATGTTGTGTATGTGTTTATTTCTGGAAGTTAGAAATGAAATTTATGTAAAACATTCATCATTGAAGAAACTAAAAACTATTGGCATTGTCAACTAAAAAGGAAGAGATTCAGACTAAATAAACCATTGCTTATCCTTCATTATGTTAATATTCATTTAGATGGCCTCAGTTCTGACCACGAACAAAGTTGAATTGATTAGTAATATGACTTCGTTGTGTATCTAGATACTTGCAGTGACTTGTTCATAATTCAACAAAATTGACCTAATGATATTTATATAAGCCACATTCCGGTCAGAGTATGTGGGGGATCATCCACGAAATGGCTAGTCTTATGTTAATCACTTTGAATGGGAAGTAAATTGATCATTTTCTAAGATAACTATATATATATATATATATATATATATATATTTGACATTGAATGACAATAACTTTTAATGGTTATCTTTCTGGGTATTTCTTTTAATAGACTATTTTCAGGTAACTCTTCCTTTCAATTTTCAGAAATTTGGTTCGTATGGGTCATGCCAGAAAATGACAGTCCCACCTTTTATTTGCCACACTGTTGCTATTTAGGTGTGAATTGGGTTTCCTGTTGTATGAGCCACATAATTCAAATACAATTGTAAAATCTTGGGATATGATGGGGAAAATCAAATGTGACCATATTTAGGAAAATTTGGACCCATTCATAGATAATCACTGGGATGGCATCAGTTCCCATACCTGTTTGTCTCTTTAGTTGTCATCCTCTCAAGTTTTCTAAATATATTCTCCTGATCTGAAAAGAGTTACAGGGGTGGTAGAGAGAAAAAGAGATAAGCATGCCTCTTTTCAGATGAGTTGAAGTTAAATGACACTGTGTACTTAGAGGTTCATTGAACTTTATGATGGTGCTGAAGTGATACGCATGCATAGGAATTGCACTTCACATTTTTGTCTTTTGGTCTTTCTCAAGCTGGCGATATGTGGAGGAGTACTCCCTTAAGCTGGGCATAGAGACAGAGCTGCAGTTCCCTGTGGGTTTTATGATCTGAGGATAAACAACCCGTATTCTGCCGTTTATTGTGTTGCAAAGCTATGATATTTGATAGTATTCACAGTATTTTCAGCTTCCTAATCTACTGAGTCAATTTGTATAAAACTTTGTACATTGGTATAAAAATTAATTTACTGTGTAGCCTCAGAACAAAAGGATCCTTCAGATCCTCTCAAATACTGTAAACTTAATTCTCCAAACATTAGCAAATATAGCACCACTATGAAATCTAGTAGGCATAATACAGTCGCTGTAGAGTGAAAGAAAGAATCAATTTGTAGGTCCTTTAGGTAGCTCATTAAGTAGTATGTTTTTAAATACTGAATCATTTTTGTTTATTTAGAATGTGTGAGAATGGTAGTGAATTAAAGGCAAATCGGTATTTAGGGATGTCACTGTGCTTTGACATAACTCTTGATTGCTCTGAAAGTGATTAGTTTCACTTCTGTAGCTTCCCTACCTCTAAATCGTAAGGATACAACCAGGCCTTTTCCTTTGTTTTCCTTGGTTCTTAGTGGAGGATTTAGCAGATAGTTGGTGCTTAGGAAATGTGTATAAGAAGAAAAATGAACAATTAATGGCATTTAAAAATTGGTCTTATGTTTTAGTTGGTCTTATGTTAAAATTACCAGCTATTAAAAATAGTAAAAGCCATGTCATTTAGAAATCAATATACAAAGTTCAGTTAGTTCAGGTTGGCATCACTGATGAAGACATGCTTACTCAAACTGGCTACTTTCAGTAGGAACCACTGTGGACCAGATCCTTGCGTCAGTCCACATTCATTTTAGTTGTAGTGTAGACCGCAGCACATATCTTCTGTTTCAACATCACTCTAATTTAAGCAGCCCCTCAAGTTTGAGCTATTCTCACCAAGCATCTGGAGGTATTTATTAATTCTGACCTTTTCATAAATGAGTAGTTAGGTCTTGATTTTGCTTCTAAGACTCTGAAAATGAGAGTTGTTTGATCCATCATTTCCCAATCTTTCTTGACTATACAGTCTTTTTCTCCTCTAGTCTCACAACATCCTATTGAACTGTAATTGGGAAAGAGGATAAATCTTATTCCTCTCTTTCTAGTTATTTGAAAGAAGCTCCCAAGCTTCTGACTCATCTCCAGTTTGTAGTCTGTTTCTGCATCCAGATGTGTCCCATTTTGTTAGTTTTGTCACTCTTGAAATTCATCTAGCAATATCTGCCAAGTAATCAGTGGCTGGAGGAAAAAACCTTCCCAATTCTTGGATGAGACTTCTGTATTTGTGTGTGTGTGGTGGTGGGGATCAAACTCAGGATCTCATCACTGAGCTGCATCTCCTGCCTCAAAGGTTAGGTATAAGAGTATAAATCAAATGTGAATATTTTTTCTCAGGGAGTCACCATAAATCTAGCCAACAGAGCCCTGGGGCTGAAACGTGACGTTTTGTGAATATCACCCAAAGCCCCAGTTGGAGCACAGCTAAAGTCAAGTAGAAGGGGTCTGACTTCACAGGTGAGTGGCCCTGTGGCACTGGCACATGCAGCCAAGATTTCTGATTTCTAGCTAGATACTGTAGTGATTTGGAATATGATGACTGTCTTTTTGAGTTGTCTAGTGCATATTTTTCAAATATGTTGGTGGAAGCTATATATAAGTTGGTTTTGATGCTCATGTTATTCAACTATTGGGTTTTAGGTTTGTTTTACAGATATAATAATTTACTGACTTATAAATTATATGATCTCTGTGATTTTGTGCAGGGCTAGGGAAATTTTTCATCCCATGACTACCAGCCTTTTTCTGGGTATACCTACTTAACCACATCCCCCTTAAAATTTTGATAGTTCATTCTCAATGCCTGCTAGACTTATTTTTGTCATTATTTTAGAATTTGTTATATAATATGAAATATCAACCTATCTTGAGGTCTCTGACTGTAAGGATGCTGGTAATCAAATGTGACATAATAGTGTATGGTGGATATCCACCATTCTAGATGGAACAAAGCCCATGTTATTCTTAGAGGAGAACATTTAGAAAATCTTGGTAAAACCAGTGCTAATTGCTAGTCATGTTTTAGGCATATTCTTGATTTTATAGTATTCTGTGTGATATGCTTATTCAAACATTTATTAAGCAAATAGGGTTGGGTGTTTTAGAAAGAGAAAGATGATCTCTGACCTTAAGATACCTCAATAAGAGGAGAGAAGTGGGTTGGGATCTATACAGCATAAAATTTGGGAACTTCAACCAGGAAGGTACAAAAAAGAATTGAGAAAATAGAGCTGAGTGATGATTTACTTTGAGCTAACTTAGATAATACCTTGCTTGACTTCAGTATCATTTGAAGTTGGTCACACTGTGCTTCATTTTTCAAATACTTTCTTCACTGGATGCCATAGCATCCTAGTTTTCCTCTTACCCCCGTTGATTCTTGTATATATATTAGTTGTCAATGGATATTTCATTTATTTATATGTGGTGCTGAGGATTAAACCCAGGCAAGTGCTCTACCACTGAGCTACTAC